ATACAGATAGTTATAAACAAAATTGGATAAAAACTACCAATATTCAAGAAGTTACGGCTTGGGTTTATAGATCCATACCCGTGATAAAATATTTCGGATTATGTACGTATTCATTATTGTCATTAAAATTGTACTTATAAAATAAACAGTGCGCTGTAATACTGAAGATAAAGACCATTTAATCAAATATTTTAGGGTTTCCTGTTACAGAAAATTCTGGATTTATATTAGATCTAACTGGACAACTATCAGAGTATAAGAAAAATATAAACGAACACTTAGAAAATGGATGGTTGGATAATAGAACGAAAAATCTAGTCGTAGAATTCCATACTTACACACCTAACATAGATTGCATTACAGTGTTCAAAATAAAATTCCAAACTTTATCGGGACTATTATACACAGTACACAGTGAGGTATACTAAAATTAAATTTCTTATGTTTAAGTGTTTAATCATTTTTAAGACTTTGTGATTGTGAGTAGGTAGTCAGTTAGTGATGGTTTGGGGTAAAATAACGGTTGCCAATTCTAAGTTCGTCTCAATAATGATCTTGACATTATTAATTATTATAGCTCTACATTTTCATGAAAGTAAATCATCATAAAAGTAATCATTTGTATAATATTATTATAATAATTGTGTCCATAATTTAGTAGATACCTATTAGTGATTGTAAGTTTTTTTTTTTTAATGCCTTGGTAAAAAAATATATATGCCATATTTATACTAAGTATTATAGTTGTAATAACTATTACACTTAATCTGTTACCAATGGCAACAATTTAAATGTACAAAAAGTAATATTAAATTTTCGCGAGCTGAATTCATACTCGAGTCAGGTTAGAAAATAAGGTATAAACACTATAAACACACTTACACACCCTCCAAGTCTCGAGTCAAATCTATTAGTATATAACTTTTATTGAAACCGGTCTTTCAGTTGTCTTTGAGTTTATTATAGAGAATAAACAAACAAACACAGGCACGTATTCAGACGGGGGTTCCGTAGGGACTGGACTTCCCCCCCCCCCCCCGAAATTTTTCAGAACTCCGTATAAAATTTACAATCCTAAAAATTTAAATTTAAATTTTCAACACTAAATCGTTTAAAAACACTGCTTCGTAATAAAACTAGAAATGAGTGGACATGATGGCTCAAAACAACAGAAAGCTTATATTATATACACATTGGTTGAAAATATTTAATGACTATAGACTAATAGACTGTTTTGTGTTATAAAGGTTTTGATTTATGAGTTTATAAAAAAAATAAAAGGTTTTTTTATCATTATCGGCCTCCCCCAAAATAAAATCCTGGCTACGTGYAGCCCTGAACAAACATTAATCCGTTACTGTCTTGCGTATAACATAGGTGTGGTCGGTGCCTTCGGAGTCGGTGATCGTCACGTGGAACACGTACGTGTTCACGCTGGTGTTCATGTTTGCGTACGCCGTGATGGCCGTGCGGCTGATGGTGTCGCTGAAGCACATGGTGTCCACCGTGTACGACCACGGCGGCGGCGAGTACCGAGTGCTGTGCGCGGTGTACGAGTGCGCCGTGCTGGCGGTCGTCATGTGCGCGATGTTCGCGGTGACCGGCCGCTGGCAGTTGATGGAGGTGGCCCACGAGTGGTACTCGGCGGCGCAGGAGACCGCGGTCGTCGGCAGCATGACGTACATGTGCCAGGCCCACGAACACGTGGCCGCGCTGGCGTCCGTCGTCGTGGCCATGGCGCTGTTCCGCACGTTTCAACTGGTCATGTACGAGAGACGGGCGTCGCACGTGTTGCGGACGCTGGGCGCGTCGATGGGGCCCGCGGCCGCGGTGACCGCCTACAGTCTGATCGTCACGTACGGCGCTTGGGGCGGCGTCATCGCCGGCGATGGTCCCCGGTTCCTCAACGCGTTCGTTATGTCCCGGGTGGACCTGGGCTGGCAGAACAGCATGGCTGGGCCGCCGCCGATGGCCACGGTCGTCTCGGCCCTCGCGTTCCTGCTGTTGAACGCCGCCGTCGTATCGATCATCACCAAGCGCTACATCCTGTCGAAACTCTACACGCGACAATGATGACTGACGGTGTGTATCCGACGAACCGTTAATATGTCGCTTGCCCCTGAGGAACCGTTCAAATCGTTCAATGACGTTTGTTTTGTTAATCGCCAATCCGMTGTTGTTATTGTTATGATACCTATATTGTATTATAATTTTGAATTTATTTCATAATATTCCTTAATATTTCTCAACACCGATTAAAATAATTGTAAACTTATTAATTATTATAGCATAGTAAGACACTAATACATTATGTAGGGATGAGTTAGGATAAAAGTGGACAAAACCTAACCTTTCTTGAATCTAGTGCCAAACTTTGCAATCAAGGGTTCGACGATTTTTCACATGCCCAAAGTTTGTAAGTACTTAATAGAACTATACTTAATATAAATATAGTAATTAATAAAAAAGGCGGGTAAGTCGAGGATGTCGCTCTGCTGTACAGTAGGTTACAAGTGGGTTACTGTAATGGATGGAATTAAATTTGAATCCAATGATATTATATCATTGTATACGAAAAA